GGAGGAGTTGTGATCATGGACAAAGACTTTTACGAAAGTAAAATTCTTGCCATGCTACAAGACACCGAATTTTACCAAAGGATTAACAAAACTTACGAAAAGAAATCGATATCAAAGAAAAAATGCCTCGTCAATTAATCTTTTTCTCAAGGATTAACAGACAAGGAAAGAGACTATCTTGTAAATTTTGAGACCCGAGAAATTCAGTTTTACGGCTTACCTAAAGTTCATAAATCGAAGGAAATTAAGAATGCAATAGAATCTCAGAATTCTGAATATATCACCTGCCTTAATACACAGGATTTATCTTTTCGACACATTGTTGGAGGCCCTAACTCGTCTACCCAAAGACTAAGCCATTTATTAGATATATTGCTGAAACCATTCTGTGAAAAGGTACCAAGTTTCATTAGAGATGATCTTGACTTCCTGAATCATTTACCGGCCATTGTAAAGGATAATACTAAATTAGTTACATTTGATGTTGTTAGTTTGTATACTAACGTTCCTACGGAACTTGGAATAGAAGCGATAAAATTCTGGATTGAAAAACACCCTTACCTTCTTCACGATCGCTTTCCACAAGAATTTGTCCTTCGAGGATTGAAATTAGTCCTTCATAATAATACTTTTGCCTTTGGTAAAAACCATTTTTTACAAACTAAAGGAACTGCCATGGGAACAAAAGCTGCACCGACATACGCAACACTTACCCTAGGTTACTTAGAATTCAAACCACATGAACGACTCATAACGTTGTGGGGAGAAGATATCTAAATGGAAAAGATTTCTAGATTATATATATATTAGGGATGTCAAAATATTTATTTTCCTTAGTGGTACATTCGATTGCTTTATTCGAATGATAGTCGACTATTCGGAGCAGTTTTGGAAAAAAAATGTCATCGATAGCGTTTTTATAAATCAAAAACCTTTTTCTTAAAAAGTAACATCACATGCCTATACCGTGTGTTGCACACCGATATTCAGATGAATCTTAATAGGATAAGATGTAGATATGAAACAGATTTACACCAACTTGAAGCTTATTTAAAATAAACTGGAAAAGGGGTGGAGATTATTATTTTAATAATTATCGAAGTTTCAAAACTTTACGGCTATGCTGTGTTCCTACAGCATAATTTAAACTTTCTTAGAGGTAATAAATAAATTTATAATTGGTAGAAGTCCAATTAATAATTTTCAAAGTCCAATAAAGCGCTGCATAATTTACTAACAATAACAAAAAAAAGGTCAGTAATTGAATGATAATTATCGCGGTATGTAATTACTGTACTACACAATGTCGAAACGTATTTATATTCCCCATTTTCAAAAGGTGAGTTATTTCCCCTGAAGGAAACTCTTTTACTGTGTTTAATACGCATGCGCTATAAATAAAGTCACTTCCGCGGACGTTCTGTATCTGTATCTGTACGTTGAAGTAACCTATGTAGGCTTTTATACAACGGTGAGAGAGAACGCCGGATTTTATTGGCGTTGATGTTCTTGTAGGGCGGTCTTAAATCCCTCTATTAATTGTTTTTGCATGCACGACGGAGTTAGGCAGATGGTTCCACTGAATGCACGTGTCAACAAAGAATGAATGTTGGTACTGTAATGTTCTACTGGATGGAATTATTAATCCTTTGTTGTTATTACACACATGTTTTTGTACAATATTTGTGGTATGATGGTCCTTGTACTGTTTAGGCTTGATTTGACGTTTTTCTTTAGTATTTTTTATGAATAGATGAGGTGGTAGTGCCGGTACCAACCCCTCAACCACTTTGTACATTAGAATTAATCGCAAACTTGTTCTTCTCTCTTCTAGTGTTTCTATATCAAGGCTTTTCCTCATGGATGTTAGTGATCCTGGATCCCTACTGCTGTAGTTCTTTTTTATGAATCTTATGGCTCTATTTTGTATTCTTTCTAACTTATCGATATCCCCTTTGAGGTATGGGTTCCAGATAGTAGCTCCATATTCCATAATTGATCTAACTAGGGATATATATATGCTGTTTTTCTGCATTCTTCTGGGACGTTCCGGAGATTTCGTCTTAGGAAGCCTAGGGTGTTATTTGCTTTGTAGTGGTTTAGATTTTTTATTTCATAGCCATCGTTTCGTAATTCCTATTTTAAAAGTATTTGCTGATATTTCAGTCTGATAATTCTATTTACCATTTGTTTTCAGTTGTTACTTACGTAAAACCCCTTTATTATTAGTCTTTTATAAGTTAGGACATGAGTTGACATTCCACATGTTTTACTTTTTGAACAGGAAGTGTCATCCATGTTGGCAGTCTTTCCGTAGTACTTTTGAGAGCTGCGTTCTGATTGGTTAATCTAGCTTTAGGATCTTTGATAGTCATTGGTTTTTATTTTGGGCCTTGCCAGGGTATTTAAACCCGTGTTCGAGCAGTTTTCTTCACTTGGGTTGGGGAACACAGCCTCATGGTTAGTTCCTCTTTTCTGTGCTAAGAAAACCTTATAGTTTATGAGCACTATTTGATTAGATACTTAGTGGGCTAAGAAAACCTTATGGTTTAACAGTTCTCTAGGTTTTGGCTTAGATTTAGTTTCACGTTTTTCACATGTTAGGAAACAGTTAGGATGTAGGGTATTTAAAGTAAATTTAGTTTCCCTTTCCAAGTCCTGCCTGGTCTAAGGATATGTAGATAACAGGTTTATTTTCTAGAACCACTATTTATTATTTATTTTTGGGTGTTGTTTATTTTCTGGGTCAGTTATTTTTAGAGCCTAGAATTAGTATTGATATTTTCAGATTAACTCTAGAGTGTTGATAGTGTCATATTGGGTGATGTAGCTCATTCCCTTTACATTTTTTTTGTTATCTCTTTAGGATTTTTGACCATTTTCATAAGTATGGCAGCTCAGTAGGGACATAGATTATTTTTCATAGTTTTGCCACATTCCTCCCATTTTTTTTTATTTCATTTTTCAATTACTTATTTATTTATTAAGAATATTCATTGAGATCATTGAGATTAACTTATCAGATTAAATCAATTTTTCTGAAGGCTTTATTTATCCTGTGCCATTTTCAAAGACTTTTCTGTTTGTTAAATTTTGATCATTATTTATTATTTGTTATCATTTACAACGGTTAATTCTCACTTTATTAAATTGATAAAACTTACAACTGTGTCTTCAATTAACGTTGACCATAGTTCAGAAATCCCCTTACCTGGGTTGATCATTGATAACTGGAGATAGTTTACTCCTTTAAGCCGAGTTGGCTAGTAACTTTGGTAATTTATACACTGAAGAGTTCTACTTCCGGTTACAGCTTTCTTGCTGATGTTGTTTATGTGTAGACTCCATTTGAGATCATTTGATATTTCCAGTCCAAGGTAAGGGTTGTTTTGTACTTCTTGGAGTATGTGGCTGCAAAGCTGGTACAGTTTAGTTGATTTCTGGTTTATTGACATGATGTAGCACTTTTTAGCATTGAATCTCATGCCCCACTTATTTGCCCAGACCTCTAGTTGGTTAAGGTCGTTTCGTAGTATTTGGTGGTCTTTGTTGCTCCTGATGGTTCTATATAGGAGGCAGTCATCGGCAAATAAGCGCACAGACGAGTTTACAGTGTCTGGTAGATCGTTTATGTGGCATAGAAACATTATTGGGCAGAGTACTATGCCTTGCCTTACCAAAATAAAAGCCTTCTGGCACATAGTTGCAGCAAGTTTACTGCAAAGTTGCCGCAACCTTGCGGCAAATATTTGCGGCAAACTTGCCGCAAATAGATTTTTCGTATGCAAATTTTTTTCTGGCACACAGTTTGCGGCATATTTGCGGCAAAGTTCTGGCACATTTGCGGCAAACATTTCAAATCCTTACATTATGCACTTAGCTGCAAGTTTGTGGCACACACTTGCGGCACATTTCTGACATATAGTTTACTGCAAGTTTGTGGCACACACTTGCGGCACATTTCTGGCATATAGTTAACTGCAAATTTGTGGCACACACTTGTGGCACATTTCTGGCATATACAATTCCATAAGCTAATATACTTACCTAAACAAATTAATTTTAAAAGAACGTGATTAAACATGACAGCAACATGTAATACATGTACTATAAAAAAAAACATTCAACCCATTTTAAAAATTATTTATGAAAATTTCAAGGTAAAAAGGTACATGTATATATTACACTAACTATAATATTAATGTTTAAAAAAAAAAAAAAACTTGCACAGTACGAGAACAAAATCTGTTGATTGAACAGTTACACTGTATACATCAGATAGAGAAAGAAACAGATTAAAAAAAATAAATTCACAACCTTTGAGTAATATAATGGCACAAATTTACATTGGTCATTATGCAAAATGAATAGAGGATTTGTAGTTAACAACAATCACAAAACATTTTACATCAAAGAAAAGATTCACCTCTTACAATGAATTTCAACTACACATATCAAAGTAATAGTGCTGCATGATATGAATTAAAACATCTAAAGTATTTTGACAAATTAAATCTCACAATATTATTTACACAGTAAAGGCGACCATTTTGTTCAGTGTCTTGATTCTATCACTTTTAAAAAAACAACAGCATAATCCCCTTGAAGATTTCATGTCATGTTGAAAGAGTGTCCTCATCTGTTGCATTTCCCATTAATTGATTGATTGTATATTGTTTAAAGTCCCTCATGAGAATTTTTCACTTATATGGAGATGCCAACATCTGCCGTGGGAGAGCTGCAAATTTTGTCCTACACTACATTAATTGGCACTCAGGGCCATTGAGCAGGGAGGATCTTTTTTGATCATCACCTACTGCAACATGGGACCTCAGTTTATACAGTCTCATCCGAAGGATCCACAGTGGAATTCAACTCCTTACTTCGTGACTCGAGAGCAGACGCTCTAACCATGCGGGCGACACATTGGATAGGAATATTTATTAACTACTTTCTTGGTACTTCAAGTTCACTCTGATATTTCAACTAACTTTTCATGATTTGGGGGGGGGGGGACTTCCTTTCCAACATTATGCAAGTACCTGTTAAAAAGATAGAGAGAAATTACTCGCATTGCAGTCATTGAAACCAATATTTATTTAAGCAATGAATTAAACCTAATTTTGACCTAGAGATCCCACATTTGTATCTTGTTTTGTGTGCATTAAAATCATATTAAATGGCATTTCAGGATAGATTGACAAACAAGGATTCAAAAACAACACTTTGTTAAATAAAACTACATGCTTCTTTGACAAATTTAATATAATGTAAAGTGTATTTAATCATTTGTTTATATGACATAAACATTTGAATATGGACCTAATTCTTAATTGTGATTACTTACATTTAGTCCATATCTTAGCAGAATCCTTTCCTGCAGATAAATGCCCTCTTGATCTATTCTTTGTGGAGGGTTAACTGATTCATCATCAGTCCATCTGGATAGAACAAAAAATAAAAACATATACTATATCGACCCAATTTGTTATGAACAAGGACTGTAAAAATTCTAACTGGCTCAGCAATTAATACAGTCAAGTCTTATTTCTATGTTAAAAAGACATAAGTTTTATACAATTTTTTTTTTAAATACTCACATTCTCTCTTTATCCACGGTCTAATATTGTTGCTGTTTTCTCCTTTCTCTTTGTTCTTGTCATGAGTCATGACCCAGGTGGTTTAAAATTGGCGCAAACTTCTAAACCGGATGTGAACTGATAAGCCGTTCTAAGATAGGTCTGTAACGCAACAGACAAGTCGTTCCTAAATCTTTATGGCACACTTTTGGCACACAGTGATTTTGATAGTTAAAAGAAACATTTCTGGCACACTTCTGGCACACTATATAAATAAAAGGCATCTAAGGGAAAATTGTGGCATACTTCTGGCACATATGTGCATCAGATCATTTAATGTGCCGCTAGGAGTACATATGTGCCCCTAGCAGCACACAATGAACCGCAAGTGGCATACTGTGTGCTGCTAGCTGCATTTACTGCACACTTCTGGCATACTGTTCTGGTACATAGATTTGTTTGCCGCAAACTTGCTGCAAGCTTGCCGCAAACTTGCAGCAAACATTTCATTTTGGTAAGGGAATTGTGGGACTCCTGAGTCTACTGATGTTTCCTCAGACTCTATTCCCTCTACTATTGTTTTCATTTTCCTTGTTGTTAGAAAGTTGTTTAGCCAGGTGTGGAGTGTTCCTCGAATGCCGTATTGACCCGTACGAAATTCAGAGACGTATTACGCCTGGATTTTTTGCAAATCCTGGCGTACGAGACGTATTCTTAAAAATACGGTTCATTTTCAGGCGTACACGTATTTTTGCCAGAAATACGTCTCCTTTTTTCCAGGCGTAAATTCTAAATCCGGGCGTATTTTCTACTTAGTCTCTTTGGCACAAGGAAATTAAAACTTAGAAAATTTCAAAAGGCGTATTTTTTAAAATTCGGGTGGATTTTTCAACTTAGCCAAAAAAACTTAGTCAACTCATTCTCTTTTTTTTTAAAGTATTGAGTTGCATAAGAAACATTTTTATTATATTATATAACTTAAACAAAAAAAAAAACAAAGTATTGCATGATTGTATACATTACAATATTGCATTTAGTTTGTTGTATTAAATATCAAAGCAATTATTTTTCATAAATTAAACTGATTTTTTCTTTTAGAACTTTTTTTTAGAACATTATCCCATGGACCTAAAATTTTGTCATTCCCATTTAAAAAAAAAATTGATATTATTTTTCTTAACACAAATGATTTCTATAACTGTAAAGTAGATAGTATATTCCTTGAACTTCATGATTTAGTCAGGCTATAAACATACATGTTATTACAATTAAATGTTTTTCTTATAAAATGATTTATATTTGGTATATTTAGATACTCTGTTACATAAAGTACCATCAACTTTCACTTCCCTAGCCTAGCCTGCTGGGATTGTGCTAATTACTTACAGATGTGTTGAGCATGTTTAGGAACAACTTATCTGTGATGTTGTAAACCTAAGAACGGCTTATCAATTTATATCCGGTTTGTGTACAGCAGTTCTATTTCCCACCCTAGTATCTTTTTAATTCATATAATGAATACACCTTGTTTATACATTGATGGAATTTTATTTTTATGTTCTAGCTGTAAACTTTACAGCATTTTTCTTCAAAATTACAAATTGTACTGAGTAGAACTTCCAGAAATCATAAAAGAGTTTAGCTAACTAGGGGGTTGTAAACAACAGCATCTGCATCCAAGTATTTGCGCCAATTTTAAACCACCAGGCAGGTCATGCCAAGAACAATGAGATTAAAGAAAGCCACAACAAAGCACAGATGGTGTAGAAGAGGTAAATATTTTGAAAACATAGCTTAACATTGACTGATTGAAACTTTTTATCTATGAAAAGAAAAGACAGCTGCATTTGCTTTTGATTTGCAGAGCCAGATGTTAATGATTGAAAATTGGGTCAGTAGTATTTTGAATTACATAAATTATTCTTTTTCAAGAAAATGATTTACATCTAAATTCTTATCACAGTTGGAAAATTGATTGAATGATGAAATGCTCATAAGAGGAGGAGAAAAGATCTTGCAATATTAAGAGTTGACCAGCAGCATAGCTTTCCATAAATGCAATAATGCCAGTGAACTGTTAGCCATTGGAAGATTGCATCAGGAAGAAGATGACCGTTTGCAATGCCAGTTATAAAGCATTCAAACTTCTTTTTGTGAATATATCAATCTATGAAAATGTGATTGGGAAATGTGATGTGAAACGTGAATGACAGAATTGCTCGTGATTTGCATCTTTTATGCCAATTTAGGAGTAAAAAGAATGGCAGGAGTACTCGGCATGATTCTCAAAACTGTGATTCACTGTGATTATTGGAATGTTTCAACTGTTTACTATAAAACTCAGCCTTGGATGTTAAAATGCTGTGAAACGGTTAATATATTCTAACATGTAACTGTGCTTTGAAAAAGTAAATGTAAGATTATAATTTTTTAAATTTTAATGACAATCCTTTACTAATGAATCTCATTCACATTTTATCACACTGAAAAATATTAAGAAAATAAAAGTGATGTATGCTTAGCTTAATTTGTCTAATCTTTTTTCGCATATGTAGTCAAAAATCTTTGTACTAAAGTTGATTGTACATTCATATTCATGCTATAGTTGTAGATCCCATTGCTGTAATATAATTAATATTTAATTCAAATCTATGTAAAGCAGGCGTATTTTTTGTACAGGCGTATTTTTTGTACAGGCGTATTTTTTTGTACGGGCGTATTCTTTTGTATGGGCGTATTTATTTTGCAGGCGTATTTTTAAGGGTATGCTTGAAATCTAGGCGTAATTCTATTTTTAAAATTTCCAGACGTATTTTGAATTTCCAGGCGTACTCATTTGCATATTTCGGCCAAAAATACGGGAGGATTACGCCTCGTGTACGCCTGTATTTTACATTATACGCCTGGTTTTATATATTCATTTCAATAGAGATTTCCACAAGGGTTTTTAGATTAAAATATGCCTGGATTTTTTTAAAAATACGTGACTTAAATTTCGTACGGGGTTGTAATTTGTGGAGTAGTTTGTCGTAAGGTACGGTGTCAAAAGCTTTTGAAAAATCTAGGATGGCTACGTCGACTTGATATGATTTGTCGTGTTCAGTAAGGAAATCATTGAGTGTTGTTAGAAGTTGGGTCTCGCATGAGTATCCTGATCTAAAACCGTGATTTAAGTTGGTAAGTATATTGTTTGTTTCCAGGTGTTTCATGATGTGTCTGCAGATTATATGTTCCAGGATCTTACATGTGACTGAGATTAGGGAGACTGGTCTGTAGTTTTCGGGAAGGTGTTTATCTCCTTTTTTAAAGATGCTTGATATATTTGCATCCCTCCAGTCTTTTGGTAGCTCCCCAGTATCAATAGATTTCTGCAGGATAATTTTCAAGATTGGTGCTAAGTTGGTTGCACATTCTTGTAGGATACGGTTTGGTATATTATCAGGACCTGATGCCTTGGATGTTCTTGATGTAAACATGTTCATGGTGTAATGCCTCTGTCATATGGAAAAATGATATTGTGTTTGTGAATAAAAAGAAATCTTTACTGATTCGTATTTATTTTAAATTGCCCACTCATAGTCTTTTTCTGGATTTGTATTAATCTGTATAGTACTATAAGAAGGCGCTGTGTGAGCCCCCCTCCCCTTACAAAAAAAAACACGAAACAAATTAATGATAAAATCATAAAATGCTGATACATATTCGAATAGTCCTATTTAAAAAAAAAACCAAACAAACAAAACAAAAGCTAATTTTCGGTAGTGGATGTTCTGCAGACGGATCATCATTATTTACAAAATGTGCGGAACAAATTTTTAGTTATAAAGTTTTTACGAATTAATCAAGCCTGCTGCAGCCATATTTTCTCTGTATCTCTAGGAATTTTTTGGAGACTGATGACATGTCCATCTACAGTTTTACCTCTGAAATTGCTGCATATACAGAAGTAGTTCGCCTTCCGCGACCGATACCAAGAAACTGCGTTTTTGCTCGATTGTATGTCAATAAACATAGAACTTTTACTTACAAGAACACATTTGGTGACAATTAAAGGCCTATTTCATTTGAATTAACCGTGTTTGTAGGATTTTTATACCCCCCGCTTGAAAAGCGGGAGGGTATATAGTAATCGGTATTTCCGCCCGTCTGTTAAGCTTTGGGGTACCCATCTCTTATCCGCAACTCCTCCCATACCACTGAAGGAAATTTAATGAAACTTTCACAGAATCTTCATTACATATTGCCATTGTGCTATGGCAAGCCCTTTTACTATTTATTCGGAAAATAAAATTTATCTTCAAATTACAGAGATATCTCTCATTTTAGAGAGATATCTCTTAAAAAATAAAGATATCTCCCAACTTAAAGAGATATCTCTTATTTTTCAGAGATATCTCTATAAGAAAGAGATATCTCTTTACGTTAGAGAGATATCTCTTATACTTGAAGAGATATCTCTTTTACTTTAAGAGATATCTCTTTCTCCTTGAGAGATATCTCTTTCGTGAAAAGAGATATCTTTGAACGTTAAAGAGATATCTCTTTCATCAAAAGAGATATCTTTTGATGAGAGAGAGATATCTCTTTCACTTTGAGAGATATCTCTTTGAGTAAAAGAGATATCTCTCTAAGTTTATCATAAGAGATATCTCTCAAAGTGAAAGAGATATCTCTCAAAAGTGTCTTCAAGAGATATCTCTCAAGCAAAAAGAGATATCTCTTTATTGCAAAGAGATATCTCTCTTCATTATTTTTATTTAAATTCCATTTTAAATTACTTCTCCCTTTACCGGAAGTATTTCAAAAGCTGAGAAAACTCGGTCCAGAGTCTGAAAGTGCTTGTCACGTAACTCGCGGGGTTCCTCACTTCCGGGGGTACCTAACACATGCCTGACATGGATTTGTGTATTGAGTTTAGCATGTTTCTGGTTTACGCAAAGCTTTCGGTGAATGTTAAATAGTTTTACTTTAAAAGCGGAATGTGTAATGTCTCCGAATCAACTATGTACGAGTTAACTTTTTGTTTTGTTTATTTCAAGAGTTATTTCCCGTAGTTTGGCAAGCGCCATATTTTACACGTGCAATTGGATTGTGACTTTGTAGCCCTATAGTGTAAGTACACTTTCATTTGATATAATATTAAGAT